GTATACTGTATACTGTATACTATATTATAGTAGCAGTACTGTATACTATACTGTATATTATATAGTGTATACTAGTAGTAGTACTGTAGGACTACATACTATTTACTATGTTATAACCAGTGCAATAAGTTTATAATCGCACCGACTATGTTGATATAATTTGTTCTCAAAACAATGCGATTATAAACTAATTGCACTGTTTTGAAAGCACCGAGCAGCTGATATTTTGATTTCAACAATTGAATTGGCGGGCACACGATCCGTTTCATGATATGTATAAAACAATGCCAATCTAATGCATTATAATACATTTCCATGGAACTATTAAATGTTATTGTACCACCCCACAGGGCACCGAACAATCAACTTTCATAATAAAGGGGGGGGTGACATGTCTCCAATGTCTCCCGCACCTTATCTTTTCGAAAAAGACAAAGACATTGGAGACATTGGAGACATTGGAGACATTGGAGACACAGCTTTTGGAGACATTGGAGACATTGGGGACATTTGGGACATTGGGGACATTAGAGACACAGCTTTTGGAGACATTGGAGACATTGGAGACACAGCTTTTGGAGACTCCTCCTCCTCCTCCTCTTCCTCCTCCTCCTCCTCTTCCTCCTCCTCCTCCTCCTCCTCCTCCTCCTCCTCCTCCTCCTCCTCCTCCTCCTCCTCCTCCTCCTCAGTCCTCCTCAGTCGTTCTCCTCCTCCTCCTGAGTCCTCCTACTCCTCTTCATCCTCCTCCTCTTCCTCCTCAATCATCAGTCCTCCTCCTCAGTCCTCCTCCTCATCCTTCTCGTCAGTCTTCCTCCTCCTCCTCAGTCCTCCCCAAGTCCCCCTCCTTCTCAGTCCTCCCCCAGTCCCCCTCCTCCTATTCAGTCCTCATCCTCCTCCTCCTCAGTTCTCCTCAGTCCTCCTCCTTCTCAGTCCTCCTCCTGAGTCCTCTTCCTGAGTCCTCCTCCTGAGTCCTCCTCCTGAGTCCTCCTCCTCTTCCTGAGTCCTCCTCCTCCTAGGTCCTCCTCCTTCTCCTCCTCCTCCTCCTCCTCCTCAGTCCTTCTCCTCCTCCTCCTCCCTCTCAGTCATCCTCCTCAGTCATCCTCCTCAGCCATCCTCCTCAGCCGTCCTCCTCAGCCATCCTCATCAGTACTCCTCAGTTCTCCTCCTCAGTCCTCATCCTCCTCCTCAGTCCTCCCCAGTCCCCCTCCTCCTCCCATTCACTCCTCCTCCTCCTCCTCAGTTTTCCTGAGTCTTCCTCCTGAGTCCTCCTCCTCCTCCTGAGTCCTCCTCCTGGGTCCTCCTCCTCCTAGGTCCTCCTCCTTCTCCTCCTCAGTCCTTCTCCTCCTCAGTCCTTCTCCTCCTCCTCCTCAGTCCTCCTCCTCCCTCTCAGTCATCCTCCTCAGCCATCCTCCTCCTCCTCCTCAGTCCTCATCCTCATCCTCCTCTTCAGTCCTTCTCCTCCTGGGTCCTCTTCCTCCTCTTCATCCTCCTCCTCTTCCTCCTCAGTCTTCAGTCCTCCTCCTCATCCTTCTCGTCAGTCATTCTCCTCCTCAGTCCTCCCCAGTCCCCCTCCTCCTCCTATTCAGTCCTCCTCCTCCTCCTCCTCAGTTCTCCTCAGTCCTCCTCCTTCTCATTCCTCCTAAGTCCTCCTCCTCAGTCCTCCCCTCTTCCTCCTGAGTCCTCCTCCTGGTTCATCCTCCTCCTAGTTCCTCCACCTTCTCCTTCTCCTCCTCAGTCCTTCTCCTCCTCCTCCTCCTCAGTCATCCTCTTCAGTACTCCTCAGTCCTCCTCCTTCTCAGTCCTCCTCCTTCTCAGTCCTCCTCAGTCCTCTTCCTGAGTTCTCCTCCTCCTCCTCCTCCTCAGTCCTCCTTCTGGGTCCTCCTCCTCCTAGGTCCTCCCCCTCCTCCTCCTATTCACTCCTCAGTTTTCCTGAGTCCTTCTCCTGAGTCCTCCTCCTGAGTCCTCCTCCTGGGTCCTCCTTCTCCTAGGTCCTCCTCCTTCTCCTCCTCAGTCCTTCTCCTCCTCCTCCTCAGTCCTCCTCCTCCTCCCTCTCAGTCATCCTCCTCAGCCATCCTCCTCAGTCCTCCTCCTCAGTCCTCATCCTCATCGTCCTCTTCAGTCCTCCTCCTCCTGGGTCCTCTTCCTCCTCTTCATCCTCCTCCTCAGTCCTCAGTCCTCAGTCCTCCTCCTCATCCTTTTCGTCAGTCCTCCTCCTCCTCACTCCTCCCCAGTCCCCCTCCTCCTCCTATTCAGTCCTCCTCCTCCTCCTCAGTTCTCCTCAGTCCTCCTCTTTCTCATTCCTCCTAAGTCCTCCTCCTGAGTCCTCCTCCTCTTCCTCCTGAGTCCTCCTCTTGGTTCATCCTCCTCCTAGTTCCTCCACCTTCTCCTTCTCCTCCTCAGTCCTTCTCCTCCTCCTCCTCCTCCTCAGTCATCCTCTTCAGTACTCCTGAGTCCTCCTCCTTCTCAGTCCTCCTCAGTCCTTTTCCTGAGTTCTCCTCCTCCTCCTCCTGAGTCCTCCTTCTGGATCCTCCTCCTAGGTCCTCCTCCTTCTCCTCCTCAGTCCTACTCCTCCTCCTCAGTCCTCTTCCTCCTCCTCCTCCTCCTCCCTCTCAGTCATCCTCCTCAGCCATCCTTCTCAGCCATCCTCCTCAGCCATCCTCCTCAGTCCTCCTCAGTCCTCATCCCTCCTCCTCCTGGGTCTTCCTCCTCTTCATCCTCCTCAGTCCTCCTCCTCATCCTTCTCGTCAGTCTTCTTCATCCTCAGTCCTCCCCCAGTCCCCTCCTCCTTCTCCTATTCAGTCCTCCTCCTCCTCAGTTTTCCTCAGTCCTCTTCCTTTTCAGTCCTCCTGAGTCCTCCTCCTCCTCTTCCTCCTGAGTCCTCCTCCTGGGTCCTCATCCTCCTAGGTCCTCCTCCTTCTCCTTCTCAGTCATTGTTCTCCTCCTCCTCCCTCTCAGTCATCCTCCTCAGTCATCCTCCTCAGCCATCCTCCTGAGTCCTCTTTCTGAGTCCTCCTCCTCCTCCTCCTGAGTCCTCCTCCTGGGTCCTCCTCCTCCTGGGTCCTCCTCCTCCTAGGTCCTCCTCCTCAGTCATCCTCCTCAGCCATCCTCCTCAGCCATCCTCCACAGCCATCCTCCTCAGCCATCCTCCTCAGTACTCCTCAGTCCTCCTCCTTCTCAGTCCTCCTCAGTCCTCTTCCTGAGTCCTCATCCTCCTCCTTCTCCTCCTGAGTCCTCCTCCTGGGTCATCCTCCTCCTAGATCCTCCTCCTTCTCCAATCATACATCTACGTCTCCAGTGTCTCCAATGTCTCCAATGTCTCCAAAAGCTTTGTCTCCAATGTCTCCAATGTCCCCAATGTCTCCAATGTCTCCAATGTCTCCAAAAGCTGTGTCTCCAATGTCTCCAATGTCTCCAGGACATGTCTCTGCACCCTATCTTTTCAAAAAAGACAAAAGACATTGGAGACATTGGAGACATGTCACCCCCCCCCAATAAAGAGACAACTACGCCTCAGGGTCTCGGAGCACTGAATACGTTGGCACACGCCATGTATATGCTTGAAGATGATTCGTTCTGGTGACTCGTACGCAGTGGTCACGTGAACCTACCATTTCGACGAATTACTGTCACGTGACACCCCGTATTACTGATTTCGAGGAATAACTGTCACGTGACACACTGATAAGGAGATTAGCCCCCGACACCGTGAGAAATCTGCCCTTGCCTCATGATCTTCAGGGTACTGATTTCATAGTTTAGGCAAAATTCTTCAGGGTACTTCAGGGCTCAGTACAGTGGCCGGTGGGCTCAGTACAGTGGCCGGTGGGCTCAGTGCAGTGGCCGGTGGGCTCAGTGCAGTGGCCGGTGGGCTCAGTACAGTGGCCGGTGGGCTCAGTACAGTGGCCGGTGGGCTCAGTACAGTGGCCGGTGGGCTCAGTACAGTGGCCGGTGGGCTCAGTACAGTGGCCGGTGGGCTCAGTACAGTGGCCGGTGGGCTCAGTACAGTGGCCGGTGGGCTCAGTACAGTGGCCGGTGGGCTCAGTACAGTGGCCGGTGGGCTCAGTACAGTGGCCGGTGGGCTCAGTACAGTGGCCGGTGGGCTCAGTACAGTGGCCGGTGGGCTCAGTACAGTGGCCGGGGGGCTCAGTAAAGTGGCCGGTGGGCTCAGTACAGTGGCCGGTGCGCTCAGTACAGTGGCCGGTGGCGTAACGTTGCTTGTTATAGCTATGGGTTTTAACAAGAATAAACGTTAACTGACTAAAAGTGTGTAACTTATAATGCTCTTACATTAAAACATTAAGCACACTAACATGCTCTACTCTCCAAAGCCTCCCACTTAATGCACCCTCCGTGCTCACTGTTAATTACTTAATAGCAGCTCACATCTGTATTTAATCTGTATTTAATTGCTTATTCATGACTTCCTAATCGTTATAGAGAGTTAAGATAAGCGAGGTGCCGGAAAAGCCTGAGTAGCAGCTCACATCTGTAGTTATTAGCTAGACTTACTAAGTTATCAATCACTCAGGGTGTGTTAAACATTAGTAGGACTCTAGTGTGTGTAAAACAGAGGTGTACAAGATAAAGAGACATACAAACATACGGACATACGAACAGACAGACAGAAGGACGGAAGGACGGACAGAAAGAAAGACGGACAGAAGCTGAAAGAAAGACGGAATGACGGACAGAAAGAAAGACGGATAGACGATTAGACGGAAAGAATAAAATGACGGAAAGACGGTCAGATATACGAAAAGACTGATAGACGGACAGACAGTCAGACGAACAGACGGACAGACATTCAGACATTCAGACGGATAGACGGAAGGAGCAAAAGGACAGAAGGACGGACAGACGGAAGGACGGATAGGCGGATAGACGGAAAGAGCCACAATTTTGATTTTGCAGCAGCTGTGAAATTGACTTAGCGTAATATAGTTATACTATTATCCACCTACTTAGTACTTAATTTTGAATTGAAAAGTAAAATACTACTGTTAAACCCAGAATATTCAAATATATCATATCATTCAAATATATCATTGTCATAATGCGTCATGAAATATAATTGAAAATAGTCGTCAAATTATTATTGACGAACATAAAGATTAAATTATAACTAAACACTAAAAACACATGAATTAAAAATAAAATCGTATTAACCTTTATGAAGGTTCGATACTATAAAAATGGTTATTTAAACTATTAACTCTTTCGATAAGCTAAGTTAATAATTTGCTTCCTTCAATAACTTAATTAAGTTAATAATTTGCTTTCTTCAATAACTTAATAAAAATAACTGATTTAAAAACATTTCCTTGCGGACTATTCGATCAGAATAGCAAAGCTATTGTCCTATTGTTTATTAAAGTCTGTTTAATTTAATATAAATCAACTAAAAAGTATTCAGTCTTTAAAGATTAGCGTTATCGTCCTTCTTGGCGGGAAACTCTGCCGCGTTAGAGTAAGTGTGGTCTGCTTCCTGTTTGCTGGTTGAAGCGTTAGCGTATACATTAGTTGCAGTGCTCGCTCCACCGCCTGATTTGGGAGCAGCAGCTGTGTTCATTCCTAACTTCTCTAGCCAGAAACTCTTTACTCCGTCGTTAAGGAGGACGTAGAATACGAATACGAATATCCCCTGAAGTGGATACGTTAGTTGTCATAGTAACCCTGTTAGTTTCAGTGTTTTAAAAAAGGAAGTCAAGCTTAATTTAAATTAATAAAATAATGTCTAATTTAGAATATTGAAAAAGTACTACAGGTAAGCAGGGGATTTACCTGAGAAGCGTTGAATACGATGAAGAGATACTGAAGTGTGATCTGCAGACCGGGAGCGGGAATGTTCATGAAAACTCCTAATACCCACCCTGTACCCAGCAGCACCATCACTCCCACTGCTGCCTTCATCTGTCTCTGTAGGGGGGGCAGGGTTAGAATCACCATAGCAATAGGAAATATTGTTATTTTAGTTAACTACTTAAACCACTTATACTTTATCAATGTGAGCATGAGAACGTCTGATTTATAAATCCTAATAATGAGTGACTAACTAACCATTAATTGTTCATTATCACTAAGAATGAGTGACTAACTAACCATTAATTGTTCTTTATCACTGAGATTGGCGTTCTTTGAGTTTCTGATGACTTTGAGGACGAGCCCGAAGAAGACGAGGTTCACTATGATTGCAAGGATAAGAGGGCCGAAGAAGAGCGCGTAGAAGTTTATTGTCCCTGGCTTAAGGAAACACCTGAAATAATAATTCAGTTAGTTTCTATGGAAATATCGATTTAAAACTTGCATAGTTAAGTTGATCAAGAAGACAATTAATTTGGTGAAATTAACACTCAGATGTGTCAGAAGTTATGTAAGTTATGTAAGTTATGTAAGTTATGTAAATTATGTAAGTTATATAAGTAATGTAAGTTATGTAAGTTATGTAAGTTATGTAAGTTATGTAAATTATGTAAGTTATGTAAGTTATGTAAGTTATATAAGTTATTTAAGTTATTTAAGTTATATAAGTTATGTAAGTTATGTAAGTTATGTAAGTTATGTAAGTTATTTAAGTTATTTAAGTTATATAAGTTATGTAAGTTATTTAAGTTATATAAGTTATGTAAGTTATTTAAGTTATTTAAGTTATGTAAGTTATGTAAGTTATTTAAGTTATGTAAGTTATGTAAGTTATTTAAGTTATGTAAGATACGAGTAAGTCTCTAAGATTACTCACATTGTCTCAGCCATGTACTGGTGATCAACTACCTCCACACCTCCCACGGTGATCTTCTTGGTGAAAGCGAAGTAGCCGGCTAATGGAAACACTATTGGTACTCCTGAAGAGATAGAACTGGTTAAGAATATCACATACACTTAGTTACCACCTAGTTACCACCTAGTTACCACCTAGTTACCACTTAGTTACCAGCTATTGGAATTAACAATATTGGTACTCCTGAAGAGAGAGAACTGGTTAAGAATATCACATACTTTACTACTTTACTACTACAGATATGGGAGTTAATTAATTAGATATATCCACTGGACATTCTCAGCCAAGCTCATGGAGGAAAACATAAAGCGAACTATTGTAGTGATTCCACAAACTAACCGTACGCTACAAGGTTGAATTTGAGCATGTAGTTGGAGATGTGAGATCCGAATACTTGTACCAGAGAGAGGTACATGAGGAATCCTTCAATCATAGTCCACATGAAGACTACTAGCCACATGTAGTGTTGTAGCATCGTGTACACTGCGCAACCTATACTCTTCTGAAAACAACACCTTTTTAACACCTTTACTACACCTACACTGCACAACCTATACTCTTCTGAAAACAACACCTTTTTAACACCTTTACTACACCTTACACTGCGCAACCTATACTCTTCTGAAAACAACACCTTTTTAACACCTTTATTACACCTTACACTGCGCAACCTATACTCTTCTGAAAACAACACCTTTATAGCAACTTTACTACACCTTTACTACACCTTACTACACCTTACACGGCGCAACCTATACTCTTCTGAAAACAACACCTTTTTAACACCTTTACTACACCTACACTGCGCAACCTATACTCTTCTGAAAACAACACCTTTTTAGCACATTTACTACACCTACACTGCGCAACCTATACTCTTCTGAAAACAACACCTTTTTAATACCTTTACTACACCTTACACTGCGCAACCTATACTCTTCTGAAAACAACACCTTTTTAACACCTTTACTACACCTTGCACTGCGCAACCTATACTTTTCTGAAAACAACACCTTTTTAACACCTTTACTACACCTTACACTGCGCAACCTATACTCTTCTGAAAACAACACCTTTTTAACACCTTTACTACACCTTACACTGCGCAACCTATACTCTTCTGAAAACAACACCTTTTTAACACCTTTACTACACCTTACACTGCGCAACCTATACTCTTCTGAAAACAACACCTTTTTAACACCTTTACTACACCTTACACTGCGCAACCTATACTTTTCTGAAAAGAACATTTTTTAAACATCTTTACTACACAATCTAAACTCTTCTGAAAACAACACCTTTTTAACACATTTACTACACCTTACACTGCGCAACATATACTCTTCTGAAAACAACACCTTTTTAACACCTTTACTACACCTTACACTGCGCAACCTATACTTTTCTGAAAACAACACCTTTTTAACACCTTTACTACACCTTACACTGTGCAACCTATACTCTTCTGAAAACAACATCTTTTTAACACCTTTACTACACCTTACACTGGGCAACCTATACTTTTCTGAAAACAACATTTTTCTAACACCTTACACTGCGCAACCTATACTCTTCTGAAAATAACACCTTTTTAACACCTTTACTACACCTTACACTGGGCAACCTATACTTTTCTGAAAACAACATTTTTCTAACACCTTACACTGCGCAACCTATACTCTTCTGAAAATAACACCTTTTTAACACCTTTACAACACCTTTATAAACCGGGATATATTTAGATTGAATAACTCTGCTTGAACATCTAACAACACTCGCTGTATTTTCTAAAAGTAATGTTAAGTTACTGTACGTAAGTAAGAAAAGTAATGCTAGTTATTATACTAGTTATTATAAGTTAATAGTAGTTACTATACTAGTTATTATTAGTTTATAGTAGTTATTATACTAGTTATTATTAGTTTATAGTAGTTACTATACTAGTTATTATTAGTTTATAGTAGTTACTATACTAGTTATTATAAGTTAATAGTAGTTACTATACTAGTTATTATTAGTTTATAGTAAGAAGAAGTATTTTACCAGTTGTATGAGACCAGAGTTATCTGCCTTAATGAAGACGTCTTGAAGGAGGAAGAGAAGAGAGGCTAATAACAGAGCTATAGAGAAGCAGATGTTAACTTTAGCTGAGCGGGTAGTCACTATCGCTGAAGCTGGGGAGGGAGTGTTAGTTACTATGACAACTGTTACTATAGTTACTTATCTTGCTCACACTCTCTTAATGATAGTTACTATGACAACTGTTACTATAGTTACGTATCTTTCTCACGCTCTATTAATGAGACCGAAAGTTATTAGTACACTATGTCTCTATATAGCCAGGAAACAGAGTATAATATGGAAGAATACGAAGGAGCATAAAAATACCTGGTAAAATGAGACCAATAGTTGCTATGAGGCCCAGGACGGACCCTCCTAGGAGAATCTGTGACATCAGGGACTGCACCTCTAAATATCCTGGGTCTATCTCTTCCGCAGCCTGAAATATAGCAGTATTAGTATTAGTAGTAACCTGAGATATAGCTTCTTGTAAAACATCAGTATAATAGTGTAAGGGTCTCTCCAAAGTGATCAGAAGAATTATATTCTGAATGAGCCATGTAACTATAGCAATTGTTATAGTTACTATAACAACTATTTCAACTATAGCGATTGTCATAGTAACTATAATAACTATAGTAACTATAGCAGTTGTCATATTAACTATAATAACTATAGTAACTATAGCAGTTGTCATAGTAACTATAATAACTATAGTAACTATAGCAGTTGCCATAGTAACTATAGTAACTATAGTAACTATAGTAACTATAGTAACTATAATAACTATAGTAACTACTAACTATAGCAGTTGTCATAGTAACTATAGTAACTATAGTAACTATAGTGACTATAGCAGTTGTCATAGTAACTATAGCAGTTGTCATAGTAACTATAGTAACTATAGTAACTATAGTAACTATAGTAACTATAGTAACTATAGTAACTATAGTAACTATAGTAACTATAGTAACTATAGTAACTATAGTAACTATAGTAACTACAGCAGTTGTCATAGTAACTATAGTAAGATTACTCACCATGAGGACAGCAAAGCTTGTGTTATGAGAACAGGAGCACACTACGCCGGCCTCTACTGCACTGCTATCGTATATAGTCTCACATCCATCTGTCTTCCACTCCGCCTGGGTTATTTACTGTTAATATTAGTAATAATATAAACGTTATTTGTATATTATTTACAAGAATTACAAGGTATGAGATGATTATAGTAAGATAACATTGTTATTGTTTATTTACCGTTTCAGCCTTGTTATTGTTTACTTACCGTTTCAGCCTTGTTGTTGTTTACTTACCGTTTCAGCCTTGTTGTTGTTTACTTACCGTTTCAGCCTTGTTATTGTTTACTTACCGTTTCAGCCTTGTTGTTGTTTACTTACCGTTTCAGCCTTGTTATTGTTTACTTACTGTTTCAGCCTTGTTGTTGTTTACTTACCGTTTCAGCCTTGTTGTTGTTTACTTACTGTTTCAGCCTTGTTGTTGTTTACTTACCGTTTCAGCCTTGTTGTTGTTTATTTACCGTTTCAGCCTTGTTGTTGTTTATTTACCGTTTCAGCCTTGTTATTGTTTACTTACCGTTGCAGCCTTGTTATTGTTTACTTACTGTTTCAGCCTTGTTGTTGTTTACTTACCGTTTCAGCCTTGTTATTGTTTACTTACCGTTTCAGCCTTGTTGTTGTTTACTTACCGTTTCAGCCTTGTTATTGTTTACTTACTGTTTCAGCCTTGTTGTTGTTTACTTACCGTTTCAGCCTTGTTGTTGTTTACTTACCGTTTCAGCCTTGTTATTGTTTATTTACCGTTTCAGCCTTGTTATTGTTTACTTACCGTTTCAGCCTTGTTGTTGTTTACTTACCGTTGCAGCCTTGTTGTCGTACCAAGCACATATGTACTTTATTTGAACTCTCCTATTCCCCATCTTCTTCATATTGTTAGCTGTGTCTCCCTGAGTAAGTGATGGTTATCTATTATACTGGTAACCATGGTTACAGTTAACTATACTGTGTCTCCCTGGCGAGCATATTCTATGTTAACAGAATAATATTATCACTCAAATGAACTTATTGATGAATAACGAGGCAGTTAACTAAACTCACAATCTGAAAGTTAGGCTTGATAACTAAACTCACAATCTGAAAGTTAGGCTTGATAACTAAACTCACAATCTGGAAGTTGGGCTTGATGTAGAGGTTGAGCACGAAGCCGGCCTCCTGCTCCCCTACGTCTATCTCCAGAACCACAGAGTTTACAAACTTCAAGCTCTCTGCAGCCTCGGCCCCCTCTGCAGGGTCGAACTCGCCTTTAAGATCGCTCCACAACGTGTCCCTAACTTCACTGGTAGAGTTCCCGACTGGTAGTGGGCCGGTACTTTTAGTGGGGAAGAAAGCGTCCCCAGAGATTAGAACCACTGACATTTCTTTTATCCCCGTCGCGGAACCGATCTGAGATAAGGTGAATTTAATTGGTTACTTAGTGACTAATATGTTACTTAGTGACTAATTGGTTACTTAGTGACTAATTGGTTACTTACTGACTAATTGGTTACTTACTGACTAATTGGTTTCTTAGTGACTAATTGGTTACTTACTGACTAATTGGTTACTTACTGACTAATTGGTTACTTACTGACTAATTGGTTACTTAGTGACTAATTGGTTACTTAGTGACTTATTGGTTACTTAGTGACTAATAATTGGCTACTTAGTGACGTGAACTAGTGCTTAGTATACAGTACTTACCGCAATAGAGGGCTGTCTTGGTTTACCCCCCTCCTCGCCTCCATCACCAGGTTGTCCCAGCTGGGTCAGATCCTTAGCGTCCGGCAGGAAGAAGGAAATATCTTTATTCTCAGCTCCGTCCTCGTTCTGCACTTTCATTATCGCTACGTTAACTGACTTTATCAGCTTGTTAGCTACTGCTGTCCGCTTAGCTATCTCTTTTATGTTAGCAACCATCCTGGGGTACAATTGTTACTCAAAACTACTGTAAAAATAGCACTAAGAAAGTTGTCATTAATTTCAAGAATTAAAAGTATTAAAAACGACAAATCCCTTACTTTTTGGATATTTCTTGTTTTTGAGCAATGTCGTCGGTAACCAGATCTCCAGCTGCCATCGAACTTACTGCTGACACTATGTTTTCTGTTGCTGCCTCACTCACTGTCAGAATAGCACAACTTTATAATTATAACATTAATACAAGTTTTATTTGATACAAGTTTTATTTGATTATATCATATCTAAAACATTATGTCTCCACAAGGAAGTGAAAGTGAAAGTGAAAGTGAAAGTGAAAGACAAGCTCACCCTCAGTAGCAGATTGTGCTATCTTCTCCAGAACGTCCGCAGCAGCTGCAATGTCCCCGATCCCAGCGGCTCCCTCGCTGGCAAAGTCGTTCAGTTGACTGGAGGCGTCGTCTGTATTTTCAGCTGTTATCTCCTGAAGTTAATACATGTTAGGTGCCGTGTTAGGGGTTATATTAGGTGCCGTGTTAGGTGCCGTGTTAGGTGTTATATTAGGTGCCGTGTTAGGTGTTATATTAGGTGCCGTGTTAGGTGCCGTGTTAGGTGCCGTGTTAGGTGCCGTGTTAGGTGTTAAATTAGGTGCCGTGTTAGGTGTTATATTAGGTGCCGTGTTAGGTGTTATATTAGGTGCCGTGTTAGGTGCCGTGTTAGGTGCCGTGTTAGGTGCCGTGTTAGGTGTTATATTAGGTGCCGTGTTAGGTGTTATATTAGGTGCCGTGTTAAGTGCCGCGTTAGGTGTTATAGTAGGTGCCGTGTTAGGTGTTATAGTAGGTGCTGTGTTAGGTGTTGTATTAGGTGCCGTGTTAGCTGTCGTGTTAGGTGTTATATTAGGTGCCGTGTTAGCTGTCGTGTTAGGTGTTATATTAGGTGCCGTGTTATGTGTTAAATTAGGTGCCGTGTTAGGTGTTATATTAGGTGCCGTGTTAGGTGTTATATTAGGTGCCGTGTTATGTGTCGTGTTAGGTGTTATATTAGGTGCCGTGTTAGGTGTTATATTAGGTGCCGTGTTATGTGTCGTGTTAGGTGTTAAATTAGGTGCCGTGTTAGGTGTTATATTAGGTGCCGTGTTAGGTGCCGTGTTAGGTGTTATATTAGGTGCCGTGTTAGCTGTCGTGTTAGGTGTTATATTAGGTGCCGTGTTAGGTGTTATATTAGGTGCCGTGTTATGTGTCGTGTTAGGTGTTATATTAGGTGCCGTGTTAGGTGTTATATTAGGTGCCGTGTTATGTGTCGTGTTAGGTGTTAAATTAGGTGCCGTGTTAGGTGTTATATTAGGTGCCGTGTTAGGTGTTATATTAGGTGCCGTGTTAGGTGCCGTGTAAGGTGTTATATTAGGTGCCGTGTTAGGTGTTATATTAGGTGCCGTGTTAGGTGCCGTGTTAGGTGTTATATTAGGTGCCGTGTTAGGTGTTGTATTAGGTGCCGTGTTATGTGTCGTGTTAGGTGTTATATTAGGTGCCGTGTTAGGTGCCGTGCCAGAGGTAAGGGGAGGTTTCATTTGGAATCAAACAGAGAAGGAATTACTTTAATCTAAAGTAAAGAAGAAGTATATCACATTAAATACCTCAGTTAGTGCCTCAATCTTGGCAGTATTAGGTGTCTTGATGCAGTTGTAGGTGGGTTTTATAGCAGCATCCGTCTCAGATATCAGCTCACAGGAGAACTTAGCTTTAGGTTTCAGGTTCGTCGTAGGATCAGCTTGGTCGTAGAGACAATCCTTCTCCTCGCTCTTTCCAGCTCTCATAAAGCTAACGTCCTGGAACAATCCGTACACACTGTCCACATCCTGTTTCGTGCACGCTACTCCTTCATCAGCTGGGGAGGTTACTAGGTTACTAGCTGGTTACTAGGTGGTTACTAGGTTACTAACGCTACTCCTTCATCGGTTGGGGTGGGAGGTCAGTTAGTTGTTAAACTTAGTGATCTAGCTGGTTACTAGGTTACTAGCTGGTTACTAGGTTACTAGGTGGTTACTAAGTTACTAAGTGGTTACTAGGTTACTAACGCTACTCCTTCATCAGCTGGGGTGGGAGGTTAGTTAGTTGTTAAACTTAGTAATCCACTATATTGAAACATAAGAAGATAGAAAAGTGAAAGGGAAAGTTCCTAAGATCAACGAGGACTTACCAACACACTTATGATAAAAAGTGAAAGAGGAAGAGAAAGAGAAAGTAGATTAACCAGGACTTACCGACACACTTCTGCCATTGTAGCTCGTTGACCCCCGCCTCCTTCATCGTCCCCTCTTCTTCACACGGTAAACAAACTGTAGCTTTCTCATCAGAGTGATCCCCATTCGGACACAGCGTACACTCTGTCAAACCATCTGAAAGAGGGGGCGTTTATTACTAGCTGGTTACTAGGTTACTAGCTGGTTACTAGGTTACTAACACAGCGTACACTCTGTCAAACCAGCTGAAGAGGGGGCGTTTATTACAGGTGCTAGATTAAAGTAGAGCTACTAACTAATACTTAAAACTATCATAATAAGCAGGTTGCTACAGTGTAAGGTTATCATAGTGATCATGTTACTGTCCCAACGTGTAGTGGTTGTGAGGGCAGAATATGGTTACTAGGTTACTAGGTGGTTACTAGGTTACTTGCTGGTTACTAGGTTACTAGGTGGTTACTAGGTGACTAACCTGTAGTAGAGACGTGGTTGTGAGGGCAGGATTTACAGAGCCCCTCGTCACTGTACTCCCCAGCTACACAGACTCTGCACGTGCTGGGTGTGTCCCACCCCTCTCCCTTCTCACACAGCACACACTCGCTCTGCTTCTCCGTTAACGTGACTAACGGACTCTCACACGGCTGACAGACTCCGTCATCTTTATCTTGATCCTCATTATACTCTCCTACCGGACAAGTCTTGCAGGTTTTGGAGTCCGAGTACACCGTCCCTAGGTCACAGAGCACACATTCGTGCTGCTTCCCTGTCAAGGTTACCTTGGGACTATCACATGTTGAGCACGTGGCAGTCCCGTCCGCGGCGCTGTAAGACCCGGGCAGACAGTCTACACACTGTATACCCGTCTGGGAAGGGATTGTTTCTGTCTTTTGTCCCTGGTGAGTGGGGAAATTAGTGAACTAACGTGTAGTGGTCACTAGGTTACTAGCTGGTTACTAGGTTACTAGCTGGTTACTAGGTTACTAGCTGGTTACTAGGTTACTAGCTGGTTACTAGGTTACTAACGTGTAGTAGAGAATATGGTTACTAGGTGAGTGGGGAACTTAGTGAATAAAATAAATATCCTTACTAAATCAAGGATAGTTTTAATTAAGATTCAACAAAAGCAGAACAATGCTATGAAATGTAATGAGCACGAACCTTAGAACACATGATGCACTCATTCTGCCCTGTTAAGCTATTAGTATGGTACCCTCCTGCACACACTACACACTCAGCATCCCCGGACCCTCTATACATCCCCACTGCACACTCATCACAACCGTCTTTATCAGTGTTGGGGACTTCACCCTGAGTGGGGGTTGTATCAGTAATATAGACTATATTATACAGCTGTGGGTTTCTCTTTTACAATATATTATATATAGTATATATACTATTTATTATACTATTTATTATACATAATATATATACATGTATATATGGACACGTTCATTGAAGTTTGAGGATATTGGTAAATATTAGTGACCCTACTAAATAGCACGATGATGTAAAATGTGTCACACTATAAAACTATATAAACCCTCAATGGTTAGGATAATCGTTTCATCCTCTAGATAAACTTTGTCGCATAACGATATCTTTATCAGACGATAAGATATCGCTTAAATGCGGCCGGCAGTGAGTTGTAAACTTTGTCACACTATAAAAACGTGACAGAGTTTATATGGACCCCTTGTTGCCGTGTTTGACCAAACTTTCGAATTTCAAATTTATAGGATAGTTGCATATGACTATTATCTACATATTTAGCGACTTTTTTCGTTAAATGGTAGCACCATGTAAACTCCGTCACACATTTAAGAAATTTATATGAGGGATGTTTATGACATCCTGACAAGAAATGCCGAATAGTCTAGCATTATTTTGTGAGCTGAACGTGTTTGGAATTGTTCACATATTTCATTGTTATAGGCAAATACAAATACAGAAGGCAGAAATAGGTAAATTTAGTCACATAAATTTGTATGATATCTCAACATGTGTGAAATTGAGTAAATATTAGTATACCAACTTAAACACCCTATATTACGTACTATGGATCAATTTAAAAATAT